GACGCACTGCTCTGGCTGTGTGGATGGGGCATCTATCATGAATAAAAGTAATTGGCCCAGCAGGGAATGGGAAGTTGCGTTCCTGAATTGAAGGGAGGAACTGATTTCGCAGGATGTCTAGGTATTTATTTGCCATAAACCTTCCATGAATTTGGAAAACATCTCCCATACCGTGCAGGGATATGTAGCCCCACACGTTCAGCGTCACATGCCCACTTCTAGCCACCTTGTATATGTGGGCCCTGTCGTATCTGCAGGAAGGGAAAATACAATACAAATATAAATATATTGGCCTAATTAAGCTATTACATCTTATATTAAGTTTGTAGTATAATACTTTTTTTTTTTTAATGTTATAAGACAAACTTAAAGACTTTTATTTGAAAATGTATAAAGAGCTGTTCGATGTTTTACGGCTATATCGACAAATACAGTCTAAATCTTATTTTAATCATTATGGACTTGTTAAGATGTTAAGTTTACTTACCTCGTGCGATTTGGCCGCCACAAATGAGTTTTACCATGGTTAGGACTGGCAAAAGTCTTCTCATCCGTGAAGACTACTCGCGACCAAAACTCCAGGTCCTCCCCCACATATTGCTGGGCAAACTGGAGGCGACGAGTGAGGTGTTGTTCGGTTAGCCGTTCCTTTATGGCAAGGACTCTGTGTTGTATGCCCGCCTCATGCAAACGTGACCTGACAGTCTGTGCACTATCTAAGTGTAACGCCTCTCTGATGGCGACAGGGTTGGAGAACGGGTTGTTTCAGATTGCTACTAATATGGCGGCATCCTCATCCCCAGTAGTCAGTCGGGGGCGTGGTCTTCTTTCTGAAAATAGACAATGTTTTTGGATCTCCTTTGTCATAACTGGTATGCCATTAACGCTATGGCATACACATAACCTTTAACAAAACACATAACATTTATATTATAATATTTGCATTATTATATCATTTATATAAAATTTTATATCTTAGATATTGTTTATATCCCGGTACAATCTGAAATTTTCATATATACCCAAATCAGTTAAAATACCCGTTTCGGCATATCTCCTGATCTACCTCTTCACAGTTGAAGTCGAAACAGCAAGTCGGTCTGGTGATGGCACGCACCGTAAGGCCTTCTTCTCGGAGGGCAACTATTTGGCCGCGAGTAGTTAAGCGCTGTTGTGTCGTGTTCATGGTGACAGAAGTAATGCCTACTGTTGATCCTGTATTCACAACAACACTTCGGTCAAGCTCTTATTGGTTGATGAGACCATGCCAAGTGATACGTGATTGGTGGGCGTAAAACCTGATGCTGACGTCATAAATATGATAGGTAACTAATGAAAATGTTGTTACCTAACGATGAGTGTTTCACGCCCCTATTGCTACCTGAAGTCCTGTTTTAACCTGGTTCTATTCAAATGAGTCTTGAGGGACACCGTAGTATGGTACTTAACGGGTGGTGTGGCGGTAAAATTAACTACCAATAAAATTAATTTATAATATCGGAATTAGTTAATTTTACCGCCACACCACCCCGTTAAGTACTGTACTGCGGTGTACCCCAGGACTCATTTAGTTTAAAGCTCGAGTCGAAACATGACGACCCTCTTCAAGGGACGATGTTGTTTAATAATACGTGCGAGAGTCTTTTGTCGAACAATTGTCGATTTTTAGTTCGACAAAGGGGAACCAGATATTAAACTCCATACATCAGCTGCCACTTGGATACTTCATTTTCCCAATAGCACACATTTCACATATAATTTGTGTTATAATTGCCATAATTGCGAATGTACTTTATTTACACACACACACTGACTGAGAACTATAATATACGAAGATACAATGTGGTGACTGTCAAATGAGTCTATTACAGTGTCTGCTCTCTAACTTACGTCAAAAGATATTATGTAATGCTCACATTGTAAAGACAATTAATTCCTTCATGAAACACTCAAGATTAAATGTGGTACATACTGTATATTCTTGAAATTTGATGTGAGAATCTCGTGGCAGCCCTGGTTGTAGTTGCGTTGCCAATTCATTGATAAAATTTCTTCATTATTTAAGCAAATATACGAATATTTGGAAACTTGTCATGATCTTAAATAACGATGAATAATTTATTATTGTAAAAATGCTACTTTTGGATTGTTTAATATTTATCCTGACAGTGATACAGCCGAAAGTAAATCCACCAATCATTATCCCCATTACATACAGCCTTCCTTCCTTCCTTCAAGTATTGCCAGGTAAAATTGCGAGCACAAGACCCAGAGTGGGGTCGGTGCATCTTTGGCTGACTGTCCATTGAAATCCCCTAGGTAGAGGATCTCAGTGTTTGGGTGAGTGGATAGTAACAACTCTTGACAAGAATTGAGATAGTAAAAGAGTTCCAAAAAGTTGGTAGAGTTGGGAGAACAGTATAGGAAACAAAGGAAAATAGTCATAGTTGGTAAAGATATTTTGAGCCAGATGACGTGATAAAGAAAAGATTCAAGATCCGTGAGTCGAGCTATAGGTGTACATGTGTTGCAGTAGGCGCATACACCTTAAACAAATTCACGCCTAGGGCCGGCCATCCTCGATTTCAAGGGGAATCCATTATTATTAATTATTAGTCTTGGTCATTATATTTCTTGATGTATAATGTTTCTGTTAACTTGTTAACTATCCGCTTTGTTGTGAGGATAGTCACTTATATGCTTGTTGATTGTTGTTGTAAGTAGCAGGGATCTTATGATTTTGGTTTATTTGTTGTGACGCTATTATACACATTTATACAGTAAATAAATATTTATGGACAGAGCTGTAGCTGTGAGCTCGGATCCAGAGACCGTAAAGACCTGCTCTTTTAATGACAAGTCTGCAGTCTCTCTTCTGTGTATGTCAGAGTTGGGCGCCTGTGAGGCTGATCAGCATTGACTTTCTTAACCCTATCCTGTGGTGTATTGTTTTTTACCTTATAAATATGATGAGGCAGAATGTATAAGAATGTTGGTATAATACCATGGTGCTATACATACATTATTTCGCTATAACAAGGCTGCCTCTGGGTGTAGCCTTAGTCCTTAACTATAAATAGGGGATTAAAACTTAAGAACAAAAAATAAGGTAGTGGCTATTTAGGCGGGAATTCCAGGCCGGGAATTTCCGGCTAAGTAGCCACTTATAAAAAAATTTAATCTTAAAATGTAATCTCTTCTCACAGGGTAATGAACAATTGTAATATCTTCACAGAGTAATTTTTAAAATCTGTCCCGCAAAGAATCTATATTTTTGGTTTTCCTTTAACTTTTACATGAAAATTTTGTTATTGTTGTTCGGCTCCAGGTTTGGGTCCGTAAGGTGATGTAGAAAATGACAACTCTTTATGGCCTTAATGGATGGTTCGTAACCTCTGATAAACATTGTTATTTCATGAATTTGTTTCTCTTGTCCTTACTTAATTCGTATTGTATACCACACGTTACGACTCCCCACCTACACTTACTATGAGTAAATCTGTCTCATGTGTAAAGTCCATTTATTTTGCTCACAGATTGTCATAACCGAATCTCTCAATGAAGAAAACTGGTTGCTTGTCGTTAATTAATAAAACAATTTCCTTCAGTAAATAAATATCAAACACACAACCTTCAGTTGGGAGTGTTACGTAAGTCATCGCCTTACAGACTGGTGATGAAAGTAACGCTTTTGTGTTTGTGGAGGAACTAAAATATTCAGGCTTAATTAACTTCCTTGTGTGTTAGTTGTGGAGATCGTACGTCCGCTCTGGATGATAGAATTGTATATTGTTGACGTTATTTTCGTTTATCTTTTGTCTTTTTTGCCTAACATAATTATCATATGGCTTATTGTGTACTTAATTCTGTTTACTCATTAGTTTGTATTTTTGAGAGAAGCTCATCAGACTGGTGGTAGCTGCGACTCGCAATGACTTATATCTGCCCTGCCAGATACAGTCATCAAGGACAGAGAGGATCAAACAAAAATATAGAAAGGGTGGGGGGATAGAGGAGGATTTCTGATAATATAAAATAACTATAAATGGACGGGAAGGATCAGATTAACGATGGTCTTTCCTGTAGGACATCGAGGTGTCATAACCTTCCTGGACGACATTTTTACGGAAAGGTCAACCTGTGCGTCACGGCAGGCAAGAACGAACACCGGAGGGAAAGGTCACAAGGAATTAAAGCTTTGTTTAAGATTAAACTTTTACAGGGTGTTTTTTCTGACCTTTACATGTTGTAGTTCCACCGTGGGTGTAAGTTGACGTTGGCAACCAGGCCCTGGAAATCTTGTCCTAACCCCTTGATTACAAAAGAGCTAAACCTCTGCAATGGTTAACTTGCCGTCTTCAGTGGGTTAAGTCGTTGTCCTCAATGTGTTAAACCATCTTTCTCAGGGTTAAACCTTAGTTGTCATTTAGTTAAACCTTCATGTTTAAATGGTTAGACTCCCGTCTTCAAAGAGTTAGAAAAAAATAGTTTCTCTACTACTTTTCATTGTGATTTGGTCTTACATATAATTAAATTATTTCAAGTCATTCAGCCTACCATACAGCCATACAGCCTACCATACAGCCATACAGCCTACCATACAGCCATACAGCCCACCATACAGCCATACAGCCTACCATACAGCCATACAGCCTACCATACAGCCATACAGCCTACCATACAGCCATACAGCCTACCATACAGCCAATACAGCCTACCATACAGCCATACAGCCCACCATACAGCCATACAGCCTACCATACAGCCATACAGCCTACCATACAGCCATACAGCCTACCATACAGCCATACAGCCAAACTGGAATAATTAAAAGTATATCAAAATTATTTCAGATAATAGCAGCCTTATCATTATTATTTTGTATATTGTCCACTTTAAATTATGTGTCAAGACTCCATGAATATAATATTGTGTTGTTCAGTACATTAAGTTCACTTTATTGCTCCATACTAATAAGATTGTGTTCCTTACTCCTATAGCTGCTAGTGGTGGCGTGAGGCGAGAACGTGACCAACATTTCCATCATGGTGAGTTAACAAACTAATTAATGCTTTTTATTAATTATTATACAGTTATCATCCCCTTCTTTCACCTCTAATTATGTAGGATTTTTTATTATAAGCTAATGGTAGACCCTGCTGCCATATGGCATCACAAAAATTGTGACCAAGTCCCAGGTTGCTGATCTGACTTTATGCCTCATTTGCACACAATTGCAGGGTCTCAATTGTTTCTCTTACTTTGACAACACATCATACTGTACATACATCATTTCTCACTATTGATTTTTTGTGTTCATTTATTATATTATATTATATTATATTATATTATATTATATTTGTATTTAATATTTATTTATTTATTATTATTATTATTATTATTATTATTATTATTATTATTATTATTATTATTATTATTATTATTATTATTACTATTATTATTATTATTATTATTTTTATATTATATTATATTTTATTTAATATTTAAAAAATTTTATTATTATTATTATTATTATTATTATATTATATTATATTTTATTTAACATTTAAAAAGAATATATTTATTATTATTATATTATTATTATTATTATTATTATTATTATTATTATTATTATTATTATTATTATTATTATTATTTCGTCCCCAGGCCCTGATGTGAGTCATTGACCTGTGCCCTCGTGGGCTAATCCCGGTAAAAAAAAATAAGGATGACCTCGTGTTTGTTAATGTGTGGAGTGATGAGTAATTTTGCTTTAGATTATACAGTAAATTACATGTTTTGCCGTTAATGATATACTGGTTTTTTAAGCTGTTAATTGCATTTATAAATTATTCAGGGAAGTACGGTATTATTGTTCCTGTAATATACTATACCCACGTTGTCTACGCTATTTGGATAACATCGGAATATGTTGTCATTATGAGCAATATTAACTCGTGAAATTATCCTAACTAAACTATAATTTTAAGGTCACGTAACTGTCGCTAAGAAGATCGATCAAGTCCGCTCCACATTGTTCGATGAAATTTGAAGAAGATACTGTATAGCGGACACTTAACGTGTTGTTTTGTGTTTTTCCAAAGTTTTCTGTTTACCTGATTAATTGGTGTCTAAAACTCTTGTATCCACCATCAAACTCCCAAAATTGTCGGCAACGTCTTGAACCCGTTAGTTGTGCAGATTTAATACCCCTGACAGGTGTCTGGGTCTCCATATTGTAACATTACAAACAGCGGATTTGATTGTGTTTTAAATATCACACAACCTAACTCATAAGGTGTTCGTCTTTTTCTTCTGTTCGAAAACTGGCTGTGAATCTTCTTGGTTGTGTTGTGTTGTCATTTGTGTTGTTATTTGTGTTGTTACTTGAGTTGTGTTGTCACTTGAGTTGTGTTGTCACTTGTATTGAGTTGTTGTCATTTGAGTTGAATTGTGTTGTCACTCGTGTTAAGTTCTGTTGTGATCACTTGTGCTGTGTTGTCACTTTTGTTGAATTATATTGTCACTTGTGTTGTTATGTTGTCACTTGTGTTGTTGTGTTGTCACTCGTGTTGTGTTGTCACTTGTGTTGTGTTGTCCCTTGTGTTGAGTTGTCACTTGTGTTGTGTTGTCACTTGTGTTATGTTGTGTTATGTTGTCACTTGTGTTGAGTTGTGTTGTCACTTGTGTTGAGTTGTTGTCACTTGTATTGTGTTGTCACTTGTGTTGAGTTGTCACTTGTGTTGTGTTGTCACTTGTGTGGTGTTGTGCTGTCACTTGTGTTAAGTTGTGTTGTCACTTGTGTTGTGTTGAGTTAATAATAATAATAATAATAATTAACGGTTTATTGAAAAATTTGCAGCCCGAAGGCTGAAAATATACATTGGACATAAATGACTTATTACATACATTGGTGGTTTAACGGCTTCATTAGAGAAAGGTGAAGGAACATACAGTGAACATACAGATTAATGTTTACAAACATAGATCATGTGAGCTGAGGTGTTGAAGAACAGACACGTAGTGTAGTAACTCCCCACAGATGGCGTTATGAGGCACGTGGGTTACTAGTCTCACAGGTGGTGTTTGAGGGGCTTGACGTGGTGTAGTAATTCCTCACAGATGGTGTTACGGGGCCTGATGATGTAGTAGTTCCCCACAGATGGTGTATGAGGGGCCTGATGATGTAGTAATTTCACAGATGGTGTATGAGGCCTGATGATGTAGTAATTCCTCACAGATGGTGTTATGAGGGGTCAGGTGTTCCTCACAGATGATGTATGAGGCCTGATGATGTAGTACCCTCACAGATGGTGTTACGAAGGGCCTGATGATGTAGTAGTTCCCTCACAGATGGTGTATGAGGGGCCTGATGATGTAGTAATTCCCTCACAGATGGTGTTACGAAGGGCCTGATGATGTAGTAATTCCCTCACAGATGGTGTTATGAGGGGCATCACGTGGTGTAGTAATCACAGATCCCTTCACAGATGGTGTTATGAGGGGCCTGATGTGGTGTAGTAATTCCCTCACAGATGGTGTTATGAGGGGCCTGATGCGATGTAGTAATTCCCTCACAGATGGTGTATGAGGGCATATGGTGTAGTAATTCCCTCACAGATGGTGTTATGAGGGACTGACGTGGTGTAGTACTTCCCTCACAGATGGTGTTATGAGGGGCCATGTGGTGTAGTAATTCCCTCACAGATGGTGTTATGAGGGGCATCACGTGGTGTAGTAATCCTCCCATATGGTGTTAGGAGGAACTCACGTGTAGTAGTTCCTCAGATGGTGTTATGAGGGACCTGGCGTGGTGTAGTAATTCCCTCGCAGATGGTGTTATGAGGGCCTCACGTGGTGTAGTAATTACCTCACAGATGGTGTTATGAGGGGCCTCACGTGGTGTAGTAATTACCTCACAGATGGTGTTATGAGGGGCCTCACGTGGTGTAGTAACTCCCTCACAGATGGTGTTATGAGGGGCATCACGTGGTGTAGTAATTCCCTCACAGATGGTGTTATGAGGGACCTCACGTGGTGTAGTAATTCCCTCACAGATGGTGTTATGAGGGGACCTCACGTGGTGTAGTAACCTCACAGATGGTGTTATGAGGGGCCTGATGTGGTGGTAGTAATTCCCTCACAGATGGTGTTATGATCCTCACAGATGGTACGTGGCGTGGTGTAGTAATTCCCTCACAGATGGTGTTATGAGGGGCCTCACGTGGTGTAGTAATTCCCTCACAGATGGTGTTATGAGGGACCTCACGTGGTGTAGTAATTACCTCACAGATGGTGTTATGAGGGGCCTCACGTGGTGTAGTAATTACCTCACAGATGGTGTTATGAGGGGCCTCACGTGGTGTAGTAATTCCCTCACAGATGGTGTTATGAGGGGCCTGATGTGGTGTAGTAATTCCCTCACAGATGGTGTTATGAGGGGCCTGATGTGGTGTAGTAATTCCCTCACAGATGGTGTTATGAGGGGCATGGTGTAGTACACAGATGGTGTTATGAGGGGCCTGATGTGGTGTAGTAATTCCCTCACAGATGGTGTTATGAGGGGCCTGATGTGGTGTAGTAATTCCCTCACAGATGGTGTATGAGGGGCCTGATGTGGTGTAGTAATTCCCTCACAGATGGTGTTATGAGGGGCCTGATGTGGTGTAGTAATTCCCTCACAGATGGTGTTATGAGGGGCCTGATGTGGTGTAGTAATTCCCTCACAGATGGTGTTATGAGGGGCCTGATGTGGTGTAGTAATTCCCTCACAGATGGTGTTATGAGGGACCTCACGTGGTGTAGTAATTGTGCTGTCACTTGTGTTGTCACTTGTGTCGTCACTAGTGTTGAGTTGTGTTGTCACTTGTGTTGTCAATTGTGTTGTGCTGTCACTTGTGCTGTGTTGTGCTGTCACTTGTGTTGAATTGTGTTGTTGTGTTGTCACTTGTGTGTTGTGTTGTCTCTTGTATATTGTGTTGTCACTTGTGTTGAGTTGTGTTCTCACTTGTGATATGTGTTGTCACCTGTGTGTTGTGTTGTCACTTGTGTTGTGTTGTAATTTGTGTGTTGTGTTGTCATTCATGTGTTGTGTTGTCACTTGTGTTGAGTTGTGTTGTCACTTGTGTTGGTTATGTTGTTACTTGTGTTGTCACTTGTGTTGAGTTGTATTGTCACTTGTGTTGTGTTGTCACTTGAGTTGTGTTGAGCTGTGTTGTCACTTGTATTGAGTTGTGTTGTCACTAGAGTTGTGTTGTCACTTGTGTTTTGTGTTTTCACTTGTGTGTTGTGTTGTCTCTTGTATATTTTGTTGTCACTTGTGTTGTGTTGTTTTGTCACTTGTGTCGAGTTGTGTTGTCAGTTGTGTTGGTTATGTTGTTACTTGTGTTGTCACTTGCATTGAGTTGTGTTGCATCTTGTGTATTGTGTTGTCACTTGTGTTGTGTTGACAATTGTGTGTTGTTTTGTCACTTGTATATTGTGTTGTCACTTGTGTTTGAGTTGTGTTGTCACTTGTGTTGTGTTGTAATTTGTGTCTTGTGTTGTCATTTATGTGTTGTGTTGTCACTTGTGTGTTGTGTTTTCACTTGTGTTGTGTTGTAATTTGTGTGTTGTGTTTTCATTCATGTGTTGTGTTGTCACTTGTGTTGAGTTGTGTTGTCACTTGTGTTGTGTTGTAATTTGTGTCTTGTGTTGTCATTTATGTGTTGTGTTGTCACTTGTGTTGAGTTGTTTTGTCACTTGTGTTGAGTTGTGTTGTCACTTGTGTTGGTTATGTTGTTACTTGTGTTGTCACTTGTGTTGAGTTGTATTGTCACTTGTGTTGTGTTGTCACTTGAGTTGTGTTGTCACTTGTGTTGAGTTGCGTTGTCACTTGTGTTTTGTGTTGTCACTTGTGTTTTGTGTTGCCACTTGTGTGTTGTGTTGCCTCTTGTATATTGTGTTGTCACTTGTGTTGAGTTTTGTTGCCACTTGTGTGTTGTGCTATCATATGTGTGTTGTTTTGTCATTTGTGTGTTGTGTTGTCACTTGGGTTGAGTTGTTTTGTCACTTGCGTCGAGTTGTGTTGTCAGTTGTGTTGGTTATGTTGTTACTTGTGTTGTCACTTGCATTGAGTTGTGTTGCCTCTTGTATATTGTGTTGTCACTTGTGTTGAGTTGTGTTGCCACTTGTGTGTTGTGCTATCATATGTGTGTTGTTTTGTCATTTGTGTGTTGTGTTGTCACTTGTGTTGAGTTGTTTTGTCACTTGTGTTGAGTTGTTTTGTCACTTGCGTCGAGTTGTGTTGTCAGTTGTGTATTGTGTTGTCACTTGTGTTGTGTTGAAACTTGTGATGAATTGTGTTGTCACTTTTGTGTTGTGTTGTCTCTTGTATATTGTGTTGTCACTTGTGTTGAGTTGTGTTGTCACTTGTGTGTTGTGCTGTTATTTGTGTGTTGTTTTGTCATTTGTGTTGAGTTGTTTTCACTTGTGTTGAGTTGTGTTGTCAGTTGTGTTGGTTATGTTGTTACTTGTGTTGTCACTTGCGTTGAATTGTGTTGTCACTTGCGTTGTGTTGTCACTTGAGTTGTGTTGTCACTTGTGTTGAGTTGTGTTGTCACTTGTGTTGAGTTGTGTTGTCACTTGTGTTGCGTTGTGTTGTCACTGCTGTTGAGTTGTGTCGTCATTTGTGTGTTGTGTTGTCATTTGTGTGTTGTATTGTCACTTGGGTGTTGTGTTGTCACTCGTATGTTGTGCTGTCATCTGTGTGTTGTGCTGTCATCCTGTGTGTTGTGTTGTCACTTGTGTGTTGTGCTGTCATTTGTGTGTTGTGTTGGTTCTTGTGTATTGTGTTGTCACTTGTGTTGTGTTGACATTTGCACTGCCCGGGACCACCATCATCTCGTGCTCATAGTGAACGAGATAATTTACAACAGGTGCCTCGTGAGGCAGGTGAGAGGGTGTGTCGGCCAACTAGGGATTATAGCACAGATTGGTTTCACTGTTTGTTGTCATCATTGAGAGTGGAGGTGAGGGGCGTGTTACTGTGAGGCTGCTGGATAAATTATTTTGTTGCCTTGTGTGTGATCGAGATTTTCCACAATATCTTCACCAGATGATTGACGGAGGATGCCACTTGACATTTAGAAGCGTCTTGTAGTGTTTTGCGATGACTGAGTTGGTGATGATGGTCTTTGTAGGTCATATATTTATTGTGTGTTTTACAGATGCTGCAGACGGGATGATGGCACCTTCCTGTGTGGTGGTGGTGATGGTGGTGTTGGCGGCCATGATGGTGATGATGGTAGATGCGCAGGTGAAGATGATGGGACGGGGTCGTCGCCCCCAGGAGTCCCCAGACCCCACCACCAATGTGCGTCGTCTGCTGGGTGGTGGTCGGAGGGTACGGTCCCTGGAAGATGAGCGGGTTGCAAGTAGTGTGGTGGTGACGGACCCGACGCCTCTGCTGCTGGCCGAGGTTTTGCGGGAGTTGGGTGGTGACGCCCTTGGTCCATGTCACGTTCTGCTTTACTACGACCCTAAGGCAGCGTCCCCAGATGAGTTAGCCAGTCTGCGCAGCGCCCTGGACGCTCCCATCATCCTGGTAGATGTGAGCAAGCTGAAGTTCCCTCTTATAACTAAGGTGAGGCGGCGGGTGCCCCTCCTCGACCTCCTCTCCCATCGGCCTGACAATCGGTGTCGGCTGCTAGTGGCGTGGTCATCCAGCAACTACCAGCGCGGCCTTCTCCTGATGGCTCGGGCAGAACCGGGCGTCCTGGGCTTCAGGGACATCCTAGTCCTCCCTGTCACTGACCAGCGCCTCGACCGCTTCATGCCGCAATTAAGACGTCGAATTCTGGTGAAGAGGCTGAGGTCACACAGGGGGCGAGGACGACGAGACTTGAGTCCCGCCAGGTTCCTGGTGGAGGGTGCGTGTGAGGTGTGCCCCAAATACTCCTTGACCCGTCTGGGGGAGTGGAAATACCCTGGGGGCTGGAAGTGGGGAGGAGCAACAACGCATGGCCAGGGACTCTCAGGAGGTGCTCTTACTGTGTCCTACACGCCCTCCGTCCCTAATATATTCCCGGTGGATGATGGGGATGGTAAGCTGCGTCTAGAAGGCGTAGAACTGAGACTGCTGCAATATGCAGCTCAGGCCCTGAACTTCAGCTACCGTCTGGTAGTGCCAGCTGACGGGGAGTGGGGCCGCCCTCTTAACGGCACATGGACGGGCAAAGTCGGCGAAATTGTTCGTGGGCGGGCAGACATTGCTGTAGGTGGTCTGGTGTACACAGAAGAGAGAGCTTCGGTCACTGAATACTCCATCTTGTTTCATAATGAGTTGTGGGGCATCGTGTGCCCCCTGTCGGTACGCCTGCCAATGTGGCCATTCATCATGTTTCCCTTCAGGACAGACACGGCTCCTTCAGTCTTCACTGTGTTGGTGCTGCTCTACGTGATGACTCTTGTGGTGCCGCGAGGCCCCAGAGACCCACAACTGGAAAGTGTAGTTAGGGTTGTGGGTGTTGGTGTGTCCATCTACCTCCGCCTCATGGCCTGCATCTACTTCTGGAACATCTACTACTACCTTCTCAAACCAAAATATGAGCCGCCGGTGGACACGTCGACTGCGCTGCTACAATCAAACTATGACTGGGGTGTTGTGACTGGCACCACTGTAACGAAAGTGCTCGGCTCCTCACGAAATCCCGCTCACAGGCTCCTTACAGGAAAGGCTAAACCTCTCATCTCCATTACTGAAGGCTTCCAGCGCCTCCGTGAAGATGGTTTATGTCTGTTGGGAGTTCCCAAGAGGTACGCTCGAGCCACCATCGCCATGCGTCACACCACCGAGTGCGGAGAACCAGGCCTGCAGGTAACCACCGAGGACCTTAACTCTGTGTTGGGTGGGTGGGTACTGCCCCGGGGGTCTCCTCTCATCCCACACATCAATTCCATCATCTTCCGCCTACAGACTTTTGGGCTACTAGAACACTGGCGGCGGGAGTTTCACGAGTTGCTCATCACCCGCGGCCCCCGAGACTTGCCGTGCCTCAACCCTCCTCTCGCCGCCCTCAACATCCTTGATCTGAGACTGGCAGTCCTCCTACTGTTTTGTGGCTGGGGTCTGGCCTTCCTCGTGTTCGTAGGGGAGCTCTTCGCTTATGCCATCTACTCGGGCGGCGTCAAGATGGTGCAAATCAACGACGACGTCCAATCCGTCACATCCACACCTCCCAGCAGCGGGAGACGCAGTAGTCTCCGTCAGTGGCTGAGAACACTTGTGTCCCCGATTCCTTCTATAAATATCAGTGCCAAAGAAGCATCTTTTCGAAGTCAACTAAATACCATCCTTAAAGAAATCTGGGGTTTTGATTTGAAATGAGAAAAAGCCCCAGAGGCGAAGGTCGCCTGGCCCTCGCCTCTGGGGCTCTCCAGGGGTCGTCACACCCCGCCTCTGGGGCTCTCCAGGGGTCGTCACACCCCGCCTCTGGGGCTCTCCAGGGGTCGTCACACCCCGTTTCTCCCTCCTCCAGCCTCACACCGGCCTTCACCTGATGCTACTGAAGTAGCCGTCCACCCGTCACAGGAGGTGGATATTCCTGCCCTACACAAGTCAGAAGGCACCATGGGGTCGGTGTTCATGGTAGTGTCGCCCAGGGCTCCCACACGTCCCGGCAACAGCTCCACCACCGTCCAGCCTCACCGCAGCTCCATGTTCGCCGCTCCGCTGCCTCAAGGTACTACTCCCCTCCCCAGGCACGCCTCACTGCCGTCCCAGCCAGTAGACAGTTCCCCCAGCATCCCCATCTACTACCCGGACAAGCCCACGTCACCAGCCCAGACCCCCCCAACCCTGACCTTCAGGCGACGTCAGGACCTGCCCGCCGCTGCCATAAAATACATGGCTGACGACGCAGAATACTACAGTGCTGACGAGGACCCAAACTGACTAGACGATGCGTGACACTGGGTAGGTGATCCAGCCTAGTCCAAGATAACTAATCTTACCGTGTTGCCTCATGTTATTGACACTTGGGTGACGCATCAACCATTTTTCTACACATTTATTTGTTGAGGCTTTGTTTGTCCAATCACTTACTGACTTCAGCTGAGTCTTAATGTATAAAGACGCACCGAGATAGAGTACAGTACTTTGACAGCTGAGTAAACTCACGCACCAAATTATACCACCATCCTCTTCCCCTGTATCCAGACAACACCGTGTTATACCTTCATGTAACTTGTGTATGTTGTGTTTGGTGTACTTGTAACACCCTATTTGTGAATCAAGTGTATAGTTCAGTGAACAAGTGTTCCATTTGAAGACAACAGGGTTAAACGATTTTATTCAATGGGTTAAAATATCGTCTTCAAAGAGTGAAGGCAATATTTTATCTCTTCAAATTGAACGTTATCCTAATAGACCCTCCATACATTTTAAGGGGGGTTGATAAAAACAGCTTAATCAGATCCCAGACAAATTATTCCAATCGTTTGTTGCACCCCCCCCACCCCTTCCACGAATAAGTCGCAAATAAGAGAAAAGATTTACATACATGAAAGCTAAATAATGACCCTATATAGAGTATAATAGCCGGCGATGTATCTCCAGGCTTTGTGTGTAATAATTAATAATAATAATAATAATAATAATAATAATTAACGGTTTATTGAAAGAGCATGGCAGCCGCAAGGCTGAAAATATGCAGTTACATAATTGGGGAATGGGTCTCTTGATTCACAAATAATATACAAGTAACATAAGTGATACAAATATGATATATAATAACTAGGTGGGGAGAAGCTCAAACTACAGGGCATTTCAACATAGTGACAGTGCAAAAAGTAAGATTGACTGGGAGTCAATACACTGGTTGATTACAAGTTATTGATAATTTTTACAATAGTTGGGACTGGGCTGTTCTTATAGCAATCAGTTCATGCTCTGGTGGGCTGGATGTGGTTGTGGTGTTGAACAGCAATTCTCGGGCGAGGAATCTCAGGTGGTAGTAGGAGCCGGTGTCGAGGATGGTGCAGAAGCTTCTCACCAAATTTGCAGATGAGGTCATGGTGATGGTCAGTGAGAGCCGAGAGGGTTAGCGTGTTGAGCGCTTCTTGATAATGTGGAGTAGGAAGGGGAGAGAATAATTTTGCATGCCCTCTTTTGCACTTTTTCTAGGTGTTTACATTGTGTGACAGTTAGGGAGGAAGACCAGGTAGGGGAGGCATAGGTGAGCTTGGGAAGTATGAATGTTGAGCAAACAGTGAGGAGCTTGGGTGCAGGAACTCCGAGGGACTTGAGTCGGCGGAGGAGGTGGAGACGGAAACTGGAGGATTTGACAACTTCACTGACGTGTGGTTTCCAATTTAGTTTATTGTCTATGGTGACGCCGAGGAGCTTAGTGAAATCTACAACCTGGAGTGTGTTGGGACCTAAAGTAATGGAAGGGGGCAGGACAACGTCGAAGGAGTGGTTGATGTGCATAACCATGGTCTTGGTATGGTTGATGGTGACGTGGTTGTTGGTGGCCCAGTTTTGGAGACTGTTCAATAAATCCAGAAGGGCGGTATAGTCGGAAGCAGAATTGTTGACGCTGATCCCAATGGTGGAGTCGTCAACATATTTCCAGCAAGCAGGGGTTTCTCTTAGGGCATCATTGATAAGCATAAGGAAGCCTTGGGGGACGCCACAGGTGAGTGACTGAAAGGTGGAGACAGCCCCTCGGAAGTGTACAGCTTGGTGTCGGTTACTGAGGAAGTCTGTAAGCCATGGTATAAGACTTATTCGAAACCCGAGGTCGATAGCTTTGTTGATGAAAAAATTGTGGTCGGCTAGGTCGAATGCCTTAGTGAAGTCAATGAAGGTGACAGCTACAGACGTTTTTCGTTTCTCCAGATGGCGGTATATGTAATCGAGAAAGCTGACAAGACAGTGAGTGGTGGAGGGAGTTTTCATATTACCAAATTGCTGAGGATCTACGGCTCCTGCAATATCAGCATAAGCCCAGTCGAACACAAAACTTTCACAGATTAGGCTGGGTATTGGGTGATTGCAATGGGTCATAGCTGATTTAAGGATTGTGGGCTGGTTGACTTGGGCACTGGTGACACATAAGAAGTCTTCCAGTCAGCTGGGCATCTGGCTTGACTGAGAGAAGCATTGGATGATGGAGCAGAGGGACTTAGCAAGCTCCGGGGAGAACTCCTTGAAGAGTTTCATTGGTAAGTCAATGGAGGTGGTGGAGCGTTTTAACTTTTGTTTGTTCAGACGTTTTGCTACTTCAAATTCTTCTACTAAGTCAGTGGGAAAGGGGGCTGGTAGGTAAGCAGCGAGATTGGTTGTGTCAAGCCGGGGGAGCGTCTGGCATATAGTAGCGAAATGGATGTTTGATTGCTCAGCTGCGTCAGCATTAGTGAGATGGCTAAGGAGGGGGAGGAGGTGTGTCTTATTGTTTAGTCCACAGAGTTCTTTAAGCTTACCATACCACTGACTGATGTTGGTCTGCTTCAGGTGTTGCAATTTGGTTGGGTAGTGAGACTTCTTTGCAGTGCGTATTTCGCGGATGACTCGGTTGCGAAGGGACCTGTCGCGGATGTGGTCATTGAGATAAAAGGCTATGTGTCTCTGTTGCATAAGTCTTTTGATCCGAGGTGTGATCCAGGGCAAATCAGCTGGGTGAGATCTGACGGACTTCTCGGGGAAGATATGGTGGTGAGCTTCCGTGGTGGTGTTGGTGTAATTTATCCATTTGGTGTCCACGTCATCCACACTAAGTACTTCTGCTGGGACTTGAACATCCAGGCGTGATGGGCGTAGGTCATCTTGACAGAAGAGGGCAACGCCCCCTCCGCGTCTATGTGAACGAAGGTGATGAAAGAGTTGATATCCCTCAATATGACACGTTTCAGGCACAATTTGCCAAGCCTCACATATGGCAACGACGCTAGCTGCTGCTGACCTGACTGTAGTTGCCAGCTCGTCAAATTTGTTAGCTAGGGAAGTGACGTTGGAGTGCAGTAAAGATGGGAGATCATACCATATCCGTGGAACTTCAGTGTAATGGTACGGTCTGTCAGGGGTGGGTGTCTCTGATTTCCTAGTGGAGGTTACGGTCCTAATGGACTTATGTTTATGACTCCCGTGTCTACGGCTGCGCTCATGGAATATGTTCAGTGACTTGAGTAGCGCGATAACACTGCCATCAGGATAACAATTCCCACACTTCAGAAGGTACAGAGAGCGTCGGGAGTAAGTGATTGGTGGCCATCTGTTGATATCTGTTGCTGTGGGCGGACGGAAGTGTTTGTCCCCGGTGGCCATAAACTCACTGGCGGCACTTTGAGGGCCATTGACACTGTAAACAGTATCCACGATATATGTAAACGTCTATGATTTTTGGGGCATAAAAGAGCACACAAATCAGCGGGAATATATTATTGACTCTATCAAGACTGATGTGTGCCCCACCGTCCTCCATCACGGGAGTGTATTAAGGTATAAATGTTTGAGTGTGTGTGTGTGTGAGTGTGTGTGTGTGTGTGTGTGTGCAAGGTGGAGGGCCTGCCAGTACTCATAAATACGTAAATACATACACACACACACACACACACACACACACACACACTCAAACATTTATACCTTAATACACTCCCGTGATGGAGGACGGTGGGGCACACATCAGTCTTGATAGAGTCAATAATATATTCCCGCTGATTTGTGTGCTCTTTTATGCCCCAAAAATCATAGAAGAAAATAGATTCACTTTTCAGATATTTTACATAAAGTTCTTAACCTTAATTTTTAACCTAACCTAATCAAACCTAACCTAACGTAACCTCACCTAACCTAACCTAACTTAACCTAACCTCACCTGATTTAGCCTAACCTAACCTAGCCTAACCTAACATATCTTAACTAGACCTACAGTATTCTAGCCTGACCTAATTTCACCTACCCAAAACTAACTTATCCTAATGTAACACAGCCAAACCTAACTTAACCTAACCTAACTTCACCTAACCAAAAGACCTAATATAACTTAAATTTGCCTGACCTAATGAAACCTAACCAAATAACCTAACATATTCTTATATACCCTAACTTAATCAAATCTAACCTAAAATTACCTAATCTAGCCTAACTTAACCTAATTTAACCTAACCGCCTAACCTGCCCTTATATACCCTTACTTAACCTAACAGACCCTATAAACTAACCCGCCCTTAAATACCGTAATTTAAAATAGTGTAACCTAACCTAACATTCAGTTTATACCAAATGTGACAGCCGGAGTGGAAAAGGAGGAAAATACTTATTCTCAAAATACTAAAAATAGGATTGATTAATTTTCCCCACATTTGTATCTTACACAAACGTTCTGTTGCCATATTCTATCTAGACGTTCCTCTCTCACACACCCTAATGATTCCAGTAAGTTCAGTAACACACTCAATATCACTATCAGACCATTTTTGTAACTATCGCACAACATGTTGTCACTATCATATACCATATTGTCACTATCACACACCATATTGACACTATCACCCATATTGTTACTATCACACATTCATGGTCATTATATACATCATATTGTCACTATCACACATTCATAGTCATTATTGTACATCATATTTTTACTATCACACACTCTATTGTCACTATCACCATATTGTCACTATCAGACCATATTATCACTGCCATACCATATTGTCACTATCAGATCATATTGTCACAATCACACACCATATAGACACTATCACACCATATTGACATTATCACTCATATTGTCACTATCACACACCATATTGTGACCATCAGACCATATTATCACTGCCATACCATATTGTCACTGCCACACACCATGTTATCGTTATCACACGATGTAACTATTACATGATATCGTTAGTATCACACACCATATTGTCACTATCACACACCATAGTCACTATCATACACCATATAGTCAC